GACCCCAGGGTTTCCAGTACCCCTGCTTGTGTAGCAAATGCATTGCCACCTGAGTTGTCTCCGCAGTGTCTCTCCATTTCTGAGGTAGGGCTCTGCAAAGGGATTCTCCACCCGCACTGTGCGTTAAGATCATATGGGATGCTTGCAAATGTTGATGGTTAAGTCCCACCCAAGAGATCTGACTTGTTTGGGTCTGGGGAGGGTCACTGGTGTCATTCCGAAGAGCTCGTGAAAGAATTCTAAGACTTGGCTTGGCTTGAGCCCACTGATCTCAGCAGTCAGATCTCACTAGAACACATAACAAGAAGCTAAATGTAACTGTGAAAAAAACCTGCATTCAGCCTCTCCATATCTAGACCAGGCCTCCAGTTCATTTCACGCTCTTAATACAACCCATTTCAACTCAATGTGATTTTTATGGCTTAAGAAAAATTGAAATCAATTATTTTCTCTGCAAGCTTTCAGGATTTTCCTCATGACTAACCAGGAATCCAGCCTAAACCAAGTCAAAGCTATTATTTTATCACATTTCATATTATAAGCTATTATATAAACACATACTAAAAATAAAACAAGCTTCAAAAAATGTACAATTTAAAAGGTGGGTTTTCGTTTCACATTAATATTCTCATAAACTTAGCATCCCTTTGCTGTGAGTCCTAAGGCAGAGAGACCACAGGCTGCATTCTTAGCAGGTGGAATGGGAAGGCAATTTATTTGAGATTTGATTTCTGTCCAGTCTTGAGGAAAACTGGAAATTCTCAGAATAAAAAAAAATAATATAAGCTTCTCTCTCTCTCTCTCTCTCTCTCTCTCTCTCTCTCTCTCACTCACTCTTTCTCTCTCTCTGACACACACACACACACTCTGACACACACAGTGTGCAAATTATTTGCCATGTTCCCATACAGTATTACAATTGAGTAGGGAAGGGGGTTGATTTTCTTGGAAATGAGTTTTAAAAGATGGTTCAAATGAACACCAGTCAAAAGAGGAAGCATTAACTCAGCATTGCCAAGAGATTCCCATAAGTCTTTAGGTCAGGAAGCTAACCCTGAAAATGCCAAGCAAATGAAAATGTGGCATGGTGTCCTCATACATCCTAGGGACCGTTGCCGTGGGTGTCCTCATACATCCTAGGGACCGTTGCCGTGGGTGTCCTCCGACATCCTTGGGACTGTTGTGTGCTTCTTATCTTGCTGATGCCAGATGCAGGAGTGTTTACAGCAGCAGCAGCAGCACCTGAGAGACTCCGTGACTCAGTAGGTTTCCAGGGTTAAGGAACTGTGTGCTCTTTCTTGGGTGGGAGGAACAGAACAAACCCCACTGAAAGTCAAAACAAATAAGGAGAAGACAAACCTAGTGTCGGTTTTAGTGGGGTTTTTGTTTTTTTGTTTGTTCTCCTCTTTCTTTGAATTTACAAATGTTATGAACACACACACAATCCACATGCTTGCTAAGGAGTAATGATGTCATGTGTGATGAAGAAGCATTGTCTCTTCCTATTGGGAAAAAAAACTCTACCCTTTTAAATAATGGAACATAATCCACTTCTTGAGTAGATGGATCTAAAATGTACTGACCTTAAAAAGGTTTCTAATAAATACAGTTCTTACAAAAAAGAAGAAATATATTCTTCAAAAAATTAAAAATGGAACTACCAAATAACCCAACATCCTACTGCTGGTCACACAGCCAGAGGAAATTAAATCAGGTGTCAAAGAGACATCTGTGTGTCCATGTGTGTCCACACACTGTTTACAACAGCCAAGAAATGGATCTACCTAAGTGCACATCAGCTGGTGAATGTGCAAAGAATGGAATACTTATTCAGCTATACAGAAGAATGAACTTGTTTGTGGCAGCATCAGTGGAAGTGGAGGTCATTGTGTTAAGTGGAACAAGCTCGACCCAGAGCGAGATGCTGCACTACCTCACTCAAGCTAAATCTGGTCATTGTGTTAAGTGGACCAAGCTCGACCCAGAGCGAGATGCTGCACTACCTCACTCAAGCTAAATCTGAAAAGGCAGACCTCATGGAAGTTAAGAGTAGAATGGTAGTTACCAGACACTGGGAGAGAGTAGAGGAGGGAAAGAGGAGAGGGAGCTCATGAATGAGTTCTGGGAGGATTAGGAAAGCTCTTGGTACTGTGTATTGAATATTTTGAACAGCTAGAAGAAAGGATTTTGGGAAAATATCACCACAAAGGTTTGGCGAACATTTGAGAAGATAACTACATTGATTTAAACATTATACAAGATGTAACACATATTGACCATTTCATGGTTGCTTTTTAGTATTCTGACTTTTATGTCTTTGTGTATCAATTAAAAACCTAAACACAAGGAAATGTGTGAAAGAAGAACAGGTTCTGTTTCTTTTATTCTTATTGCCCCATTTCAAATCAGAAAATCCTGTGCACTCATTAATTTCCATGACTGAGAAAATGAACTGCAAAATGGGAGATGTGATCTTGAAATAATTTGCAAACAACCCCACCCACTCAGACTCTTGCCCGTGTTTGATCTAGAAGATTAAATTATTGTCCTGTGAAATTGCAAATATTGTAATGTTGAATTTAACCAACATTCCAGTTCTGACCATTCAGAACAGAGACAGGCAGGGAAGATGTGATTTAAAACTTCCTGTTAAAATTATTTTATATGTGGAAGAAAATCATTTTAGTGCCCTCTGATATTGAAGAGTAAACACCTGGTACACAATTCCTGATTGGGGTTGGTATCCACTGAAAATGCATCAGTGCACCTGGGTTCTATTTAAGACTAAGTAGGATTACTCACAGAGACCCAGTGTACTGAATTTAAGTATCACCAAATTGTTTGAGAGGGAGAGCTAAATTTGGAGAGCAGTATTAAAGCTCAGAGAGGGTGATTTAGCAAACCCACCAGAACCTACAGTGAGTCACCCAGGAGGATTGGACTAAATCTAGATGTTGGCTTACAGGTCACCAGCATCTCATTAGATTGAATTCATTATGGCATTACCTTCTTTGTAGTTCTTTTCATAATGGTATCCTCCGAATTTTTCCAATGTCTTGCCTTTTCTAGGCAGTGCACTGCAAATCAATTATTTGAATGTCAGATTCCAGAGCTACTGACATTGAAAGATGTTGCTAGGGAATGTCTGGTCCATTCCAATTACCTTGCAGACATGTAGAAAAAATTAGGAAGTGAAAAATATTTGGGGCATTTGTAAGAGTTATACATATGGAACTGCTATTTCTCAGGACAAAAACAAGTTATTCAAGAGATTACGTTTGTCAGAAAATGAAAGCCAAGACTCCCTTGGCAACAGCAACTATGGTTCAGCAAGACCCAGAGCTCAGAAACAACAGCAAATTCACAAAAGTTTATGATGTTGTCTGTCTGTTAAATACATTAATTTTTTTTATTTTGCTTTGTTTTATGATAGGGCCCCCATTTAGTTCAGGCTAGCCTCAAACTTGCTATGTAGTCAAGGCTGGCCTTGAATTCCTATTCCACTTGCCTCCACCTTCTAAGTGCTGAGATTATAGGCACCATGCCCTGCACATTTAAATTTTTTGATGATTAATTTAAAACGCCTGCATTTTAATCTAGGGTGCTCTTGATTTTCATGTTAGTACATGAATAAATTTTAAAATAATGATATGCTAAGCACTAAGCAGTATGCATGTTAACAGAATTGTTTTCAACTCAGAAGGGCACTCCATAAAAAATTCTCTAAAAATTTGGCAGAAAATACAGTCACTCACAGCAATATGGAAAACAGATCTATTGTAATCCCTGTGGTAGTATTGATGGTATTGCCAGGGCAAGAGCTCTGTGAGCACAGTAATTTGCTTACTTCCTCCATTGCTAATGGCTGGGCGCGGTGACTGTTACCTAGGAGGCAAGAGGTGGCAGAGACCTGTGTGGAGTGAATGGCTCTCCTCACATACCAGAAGTCACCAAAACTAAGGTGTGAAGAATTCACTTGGATAAACAATGAGCATTTAGTGCTTAGAGTTTATTTGCAACTTCAGGTAGAGTCTGGTCATCAATTTGGAAGTCAAAAAGGGACTTTCTGGTGTTTTATTATCATCATCATCATTATCAGTGTGTGTGTGTGTGTGTGTGTGTGTGTGTGTGCCTGTGGTGGCCAGAAGGTGGCGATGGATCTCCTGGAGCTGGAGTTAGAGGGGGTGGTGGGTCTAGTGTACTGGAAACTGTATTCTCTCTAAGAGCAGCAAACATTCTTATCCACCAAGCCATCTCTCTAGTCCCTAGGAAGGGTTTTAGCTTTCATGCTGATTTTTGTTTTCCAAATGTTGAGATTGTTTACAACCAGGAGCTTTGTGCTTCTTGACAACTTTGAAAGTCAGAAATTACAACAGGCAGAAGGGTCATGTTTGTGTAGGTCTTCAGTACGGCTTGTACATAGCAGGCATGTAGACTTGCACTGGGAGCTGACAACTTAGGTTACAACTGTAGCTTTCCTTTTTTTTTTTTTTTTCCTGGGAATATGTACAACTGGGAAGGAATTGACATAAGACCGAACAGATAGACATACTGTTATTCAGTACTGTTGCAATGATTAAGTTTGGTTTTATTTCCAGACCTGAGGGAAAAGCAGTTAGCATATGGGAAAATTCTGGGCAATCCCTCCCTGGCTTCCAGTCACTTTCAAATGAAATACTAGCTGCATAATTTCTCATATAGCTCTATGCTAGTTCCATGTATTACTGCAACAAGATGTTGTGGTTGCTAAGTATTTCAATACAAGGACCCTTCAGGGATCATGCAGGTTGATGGTCATTGGCTAAACTTGTCCCATGCTTGCACTTTATAGGCAGGACTATTACCACAGGGCTGAGTTCTCACCAGAGGGCAGCAGAGAGAGTTGGCAGTCACAGAGGTGAAAAGGCTACAGAGAGGCTGCTTCCGGAGTCCTCACTTCATGCTTCTCAAACATACTCTTCTTTTTCATTCAAACTCTCAACTCTTCCTTTCCAAGCAGAGCTCTTCATGTCCAAAGCCTTGGGAGCCAGAACTTTCTATGGAAGAAAACTTGTGCTTTTTCGGAGGACAAAGCAAGCAGTTTGGTTCCCACGACCCCATGACTGAGGGTCTATCACCGAAGGTACTTTTATGCTTTAAAATCAGGTGACATCTTGACTATCTGCCATTACTGATAAATGAAAGTAGCTGTGGAAGTGGCAGGAAGTGGTGGTTGGGACAGGAAGTAGCTCTGGAAGTAAAGTCTTGGCCACACAAGCATGAAGTACCTAGTTTACATCATGTAAAGCCAGGCAGAGTGGCATGTGTCTGTAATGCTCATGCTTTCCAGTGGCATGGGATGCGGAGACAAGCCTGCAGTGCAGCCAGCCTGGAGAACACTGCAGCCAACAAGAGGCCCTGCCGCAAGCGAGGTAGAAGGTGGGTGCCAATCCCTGAGGTTTCCCCTCAGCACTTGTTAATTCCAAGATTCACTGGAGCAAAAATCAAAAAACAAAAACAAAAAACAATTCCACCATTTTTGAGCCAAATTTAAGACAAGATTTCATTAAAGTTTAAATACTAAGACGGACTTCCAGCTGAGTGGCCTCTAGACACCTGGTGGGGTTTGGGCGTTTCTTATGGGCAAAACCCATTGGTTTTGGGCATTGTATTTTCCCATGAGTTGTTGTTGTTATTTTTCAAGAACTACCAGCATCCCAGGAAGCTATGTCGTCCTTGGTTGGGTGTGGCTCACAGGAGAGGGAGGGAAGGAGGGGAAGGGGAGAGTAGTGGTCGTTAGAGAGGAGGGATTTTTTTTTTAAATTAAAAGAACCAATAGCAAATGTTGGCTGAGACTGACACGTGGTCACTCCCATACCCCTGAATCCACCCACAGTCAGAGCACTGACAGCTCCATTTCACCTTGGACAGTATAATATAGATCCTGCAATTAGATATTGTAATATTGGAGGTCTGGCTTGCAATTGCTGACTGACTTAGAGGCATAAGGATGATTATTGATGAGGTAAAATCGAAGACTCTTTTCTAAAAGTCTTATGTAACAATAGATAATGCTATATTACTAACGAGCTCAAGAAATCAGTGGAGGATTTAAGACCTGGAGGGAAGGAACCGGGAAGTATCAGTAAGTACAGGAGAGAATGAATCCAAAAGAGCTGCAGAATTTGGAGATCTATGGATGAAATTAAAATAAAGATTCACTATGACCAAAATCTCTGGAACTACCTTTTCCTAAAGACCCCGGGAAGACATTTTTCTAGAAATGTTACTTGCAGACAGGCCCTTTCACCAGCTTGCACTTGTCAGTTGAATTAGGGAAATGCACTGCCCCTATTCAGTCACAGGCCACCAGCTTGTTCTTCTCCATGTGTAACAAGAGGTAGATTATTAATTTTAACGTTATTGGATATTAACCTAGAGAGAGGAAGGAAAGTGGACTCAGGAAAGCACCTGGTCTTATGCCAACATCAGGGAAAAGCAAAGCAAGGGTGACCTCTACTGATGTCAGAAAAAAGGATGCGGTGGCTGCCTGGAAAAGACTGAGTGAGTGAGCCAGATTTGCTCTTCTGGGTGGGGGGCAGACTGTCTGTCTGAGGTTGAGGGATGTAGCCTTGGGGTACTTCCTGTCACCTCGCTCAGTTAACCTGGGTGATTTCCATTCCTTCAGAGCACCCTGAGGCCTTCGCCAGCAGCCATATTTGGTGGCTCACAACTTCCTCTAATTCCGGGTTCAGGGGAATTAGATACCCTCTCTGGCCTCCCCTGGCACCTGCAAGTACATGATACATGTCAACTCCGCACAGTCCACACAAGCAGACATATTAGGAAGATACTGCTCTCAGCATCCTCTAGAGGAAAGCCGTTCATACAGATGTACATTCTTGGTGAATGTTTCGGTCACCTGGTTTTGCACAGTCCTCACCAGAAAACCACTGCCTAACATGTGCCACAGTACGGAGTCAGCTCAGTTGTTCCGCTGTGTGTCCAAGGCAAATCATTGTTTCAGACACGGATTTTCCTTCAGTAAAATGCAAACAGTTTCACCTCAACCTCACAAACACTGGGAGCCTCATACAAACGGTGCTCTGAGCCTTGCATGTTTCCTGCTTGTCTTCCCATCCCCACACATGTCAGCTATCTTCCTGGTCCCAGTGGAAAGCTTCCCTGCATCAAGCCATGTCTTAGCTTATGGGCAAGCACTCTTTCTTCTGATCCCTGATCCCTTAGAGTTTATAGGATGTAGCTAAGCATTTTGAATGTGCTCTTTCTTATGTTACATAATGCTTGTCTCATAATTAGCTGTGTCTCCCCGAGTGAAGACAGAAAGAAAGGGCTCAGAGTTACCAGGGTTCCTAAAAAGAAATGGTTAATCACTTTTCAAAAAGCACTCCACCCCTCCCCCATTCACCAATACAGTAACTGGGTCCAAACTGTGAATGTTCCAGGTGGGGAAGCGACTGAGGGGCAAATGGGTGGGACCTGAAAGGGCTGTTGTAACAAGCAGCACATGAATGTGGCAGGTGAGTGAGTGGAGTTGACCCTGTCACCTGGAGACAAGGACCCAACCTGTGACCTCTCTGTGCTTCGTTTTCCTCTCCTGTAAAGCGGTGTTGACATTACTCACCTTCAATGTCATGAGAAGATGAAAGGAAATTTTTTTCTAGTCCAGTAGATGGTTGAAAAGAGCCCTGGCAGCCTCCTGTCCCTAGAGGCTCTGATCTACAAGGCTCCGAGGACCCATCTGTCTTTGTGACCTGAACAGAAGGCCTGTCTAATGGACCTGAGTGCTCCAGGGTGGTTCCTATGAATGACGCTGTGCTGGGGGATTGTGGCACCCTTCCACTTTACCTTGACAGGCACTTACCATGCTTCAAGAATCTTCAATGTAAATGTAACCAAAATATGGCCTTCCAAATCACAAAGGATCTACAGATGTGCTTGGAATAACAGATAGAGCTAACCATCCACACCTAAGGGTTCCACATCCGTGCAACTACAGACTGAAAATATCTGGGGAGAAGTTATGTCTTATTGAACACAGTCAATATTTCTCATACCATTGTTCTCTAACAAGACAGTGTAACTATGTACACAGCATTGATGTTAAATTAAGTATAACAGTGACCTAGAGAAGATTAAAAAAAACATACATACTGTGTAGGCTATATGCAAATGTTGTTGCACTGTTCTATATAAAGGACTTGAGCATCTTGGATTTGGGTGCTTTCTGGGGATCCTGGAACCAAGTCCATCTGGATGAGAGGCATAGAAAGTGGTGCAGAAACAGACAGGGCTATCAGTTCTGCCTGGACAGGGAAGCATGAAACTTGATCTGACTGTGGGGTCAGTGTTCGCCAAGTAAATAAACCCTGAATGGAAAATGTTTTCAGCATGGCAATGACATTGCCTTTATTTTCCCTTTCATACTTACCACAGAGAGTTCATAGAGTTCTAGAGTTCTCCACGGCCTGTACTCTTAAACCCAGCAAGCTGGGAGAACGGGGTTGCAGGAAGAGGTTGTAAGTCTGCAAATCCTGTGATGACAGGTGTGAAACTCTGTGAGTCAACACGAGCTCTGTGAAGGAGGCCTCCTTCTCAGACTGGCGGTAACACCAGTGTCAGGTCTGTGTATCCAGCACAGCAACTGTAGCAATTTCATCAAATTGTTCGCAGCACTAATAAATCCCCAGCCCTGCATGAGCAGGACTTATGTAAGCTAGGAGAGATTTTGGCAGAGTCCCTCGCAGTTCCGCACACTTGGTTTGGAAGTGTGAGATATTAATTAAAGAAAAACTGGATGACAGCATTCAGCCTGGAGACAGTATTGTGCCAACCATCTGCAGTGGTGGAGACCAGTTTCTTCCTGAAGCTCTGCCCACACACTTGCCTTGAAGCCCCACCTTTTCCACTTAGCTCATGCCTGGGCTTCTCCTGCCTTAAGGGGAACTCTGAAGATCTTTGAACAACAGTATCAAGTGTGTGGTAAGAGAGTGGGACTGAAAGATAGCTGATGAGAATTGAAAATCGAATTAGCAAGTTCTTTTCCTTGGAGTATAGGAGAATCCTGGTGGTCTTAAGGGTGTAAGACTAAAGCAGCAGTCAGGTTTCTCAGCAGCATCTAGAGCAGCGGCTCTCAACCTATAGGTCCCGACGCCTTTGAGGACTGAGCAACCCTTTCACAGGGATTGCCTAAGACCATTGGAAAACACAGATTTTTTTCCTTATGATTTGCAGCAGTAGGAACATTACAGTTATGAAGCAGCAGCAAAAGTAGCTTTAGGGTTGGGGTCACCACAGCATGACGAACGGAATTGAAGGGTCTCACGTTAGAAGGTGAAGAACTGCCCTCCTAGAGGGATGCATCTGAGCAGACAACTGACAACAGCATCACTTTACTCCATATCAGTGGTGTCAGCTTTGGAGGAGCAGAGGAATACATTATCTCTTTTGTGCTCTTCCTTCTCTCTGTGACAAGGCTCTGTGCATCCTGCATTCTAGACTTTGAGGGCCCCCTGCCTCTCCCCGTGTGTGTGTGTGTGTGTGTGTGTGTGTGTGTGTGTGTGTGTGTGTGTGTGTAGGTATATCTCTGTGTGACTGTGTGTCTGTGTGTGTTGTATGTATGCAGGCACACCTGTGTGTGTGTGTCTTTTTGTCTATGTATCTGTCTATACATTGCAGGCACACATGTGTGGAGCTCACCAAGTGGCTGTCGAGCTGGCCAGCAAGTCCCAAGGATTCGCCTGTCCCCACCTGCCCAGTGTGAGCCTGGAACCCACACCACCAAACGCAGCCTATATTTTCAATTGGGTTCTGGGGCTGGATCTCAAGTCCTCATACCCACACAGAAGCTCTTCACCAGTTGAGCTTGCTTCCCAGACCTTTCTCATCATCTTCTGTCTGTGTTTTTCAGCTCTAAGTTAAGGCTTGTATAGCCATTTATAGCCATAATAGAGCAATCTTCCAACAGGACTCCTGGTCAATGGGGTTAATTTTATTTTTTTTATTTAATTGTAATTTTTCTTTTTTCCCACCACATTCTTTTTACATACATTGGTGTTGTACCTGCATGTATGTCTGTGTGAGGGCACCAGATCCCCTGGAACTGGAGTTATAGACACATGG